CGTATTTCTCCTCGTCCGTCCATTCTGCATCATCTTGTGCATCATCTTGTGCATCATCTTTTGCATCATCTTTTTCAGATTTGGATTCATCAGGTTCATCTCTTTCTTCTTCGCCATGTATCATTACTGTCGGTTCAAAAGCTTCTTCGTGGAAAGATACACTTCTTGCCTCAACCACTTGTCCGGACTCAGGGTCGTAAAGACGATATTTCTTGCTCTCTGATGCGTACCCACACAGGATAAGTCGCTCTCCCTTTGCTCCCCAGACCGTCCTTTTCTGGGCTGGTATATGTGCAAATGCTACGCTACCAAAGACTCTCAAATGACGGAGTGAAGGTTTCTTGCCAAATATTGCTTCAAATGCGGTTATATTTGGACTTTGCTTGCTTGCTTGCAGTATTCGGTTGTGGACGTAGACGGTGGTGGCAACGGCTTCAGCCCATAAAGATTCGGGTAATTTAGCTGCCAGCAGAATAGTTCGAGCACAGTCTTTTAAAGTTCTTATTTCACGTTCGGACCTCCCATTCATTTCTGGATTGTAGCTGACGGTTGTTTCATGAATTATTCCCCGGTCTCTGAAGTATGATCCCAAGTAGAATTACAGAATTCTCCACCATTGTCTGAACGGCATATCTTGACCTTTCTTCCTGTTTGATTTTCCATAAATTCAATGTAGCATTTGATACGATCCTTGGCTTCGTCTTTGCTCTTGAGAAAATATACAGTGCGGAAGCCAGTAGCATCGTCTTTCAAGAGTAAGAAATATTGAGCTCCTCCCAGGGATGCAACAGGCATTTTTCCGGCTAAGTCCATATGGACCATTTCTCCTGGTTTTATCGTTGCATTTCTTGTTGCGGCTGGAAATGGCTTTCGAGATTGCTTCCCAATCTCACAGTCTTCACACATAATTTTATGTGACACGGTCTCCAGGTCAATTCCACGAACTGCGTCTTTCTTGATGGAGTCCACCACATAGTTCATATTAATGTGTGTCAAGCGTTGATGCCATAGTTTAGCATTAGTCACAGGATGCATGTATGCAGCAATAATTTGTGAAGTGGGACGAAACTTCATGACATACATATCATTCTTGAACTCGGCAATTGGCCCCTTAAACCGTCCATCCTGATAAAATGTTGCTCCATTCTTGTCACGGACGATGGAGTACCCTTTCTTAGCCATTGATCCCTCAGAAAAAAGGTTGACAGCCCCTTGTATGTACAACACGTTATCTATGGTACATTCCTCCCATATGCCGTTGATGTAAGCGTCAAGTGTCACTGTCCCTTTTCCTAGTGCTTGTGTAGCCCTTTTGTCCGTTAGGAAGACTGACTTGGGAGTGTCAAACTCTTCATATCTTGTAAACCATGCCTTATCTCCACAGACATGCTGGTTAGCTCCAGAATCGCTTAGCCACACTTGTTCAGTCACGGGTGCTTGCATGGGGGTTTGTATTGCATTTAGCATGAACGCTTTCCCAGGGCTTCTATTGGCTTGTGCGGGATTATCTGAAGGTTTATTGCTCTGATTTTGTGGATTACTCCTGCATTCCCTTTTCCAGTGGCCCTTTTTCCCACACCCATGGCAGGTTGTTGCCTTTTTCAACTCTTCAATGCTCTGTTTCTTCTTGCCTTTCTTCTGGTCATGGGTCAAGAATGCCTTTGCTGCATCTTGATTGGTTGCTGCTGGTTTGGATTCCTTCCTCTCCAACTCCTCCTTCTTCAGACGGGCAAGTAGCATTATCATGCTCTGGTCCTTATCCGGAACGCTGTCCCATGCCTTTTTGAAGGCATTATACTCCTCGTCGGGGAGACTTGAGACAATCTTTGTGACAATGGATGCTTCAGGCATGACGACTCCCATTTCATTTAGTCTTCTGCCCAGCTCTTCCACCTCTGCAAATGCTTCAATCAATGACTGACTCTTGCCAATTTTGTAATTGAAGAATCTAGCCATGGTATGTTGTTTGTTATGAATTGATGCTTTTCAGCTTGTCAAACATTGCTTTTGATGTAGCGCAGTCATAAATATGATTTGTTTGAGTGGCACTGAGAGTGGGGACAATGATGGATTGTGCTTGTATATCCTTCTTATCCCATGCTGGCTGTTGCGCTTCATCTGCGGGTCGTTGGGTAGTGCCGTTGACCACTTCCCACAGGTCATGTGACTTGAGAAGTAAAGTTATCTGAAGTCTCCACCTCGCGTAATTGGTGTCGTCTAGCTTGACAATGTGCGTAACATCTATTCTTTTGATTGTTGATGTCATCTTGTCGTTGTGGAGTAGGGAAAGCAGAAGCGAAAAACAGAAATAGACTTGTTACCTTCTCTTTGCCTAATAAAGAGCAGTAGAATCGAAAAAGGTCGAGATTTGGTAGACGGGAACTCAGGATTTGGGTAGAGTGGTCGTCCTCAATAAAACTCGTCCTCGGGCGGAAGGTTCAGCTTCGTGTAGAGTCAAAGGGTTGATGTCTCTTGTCCAAACAATGGTCCAATTCACGGCACACTTTTACAGGCTTACTCCGTCCAGACTGGCACTGGGCAGTGGAGACTTACTGCTATTATTAACTGATGAATTCACTTTTCACTTCACAACAATAACACTGATCTACTTCAGTTTATCAAGTGTTGAACAGGAAACGGTTCTTCTCGTTGTGAGACTTTAACAGACTCTGAGACTGGGGCACTTTTGAGACACTCAATGAGGCAGGTTGAGACCAACAATATGAATCATACAAACTAACGGCTTTGCTACCATGAAAGTAAAAATGATCTCGCTGGAAGATATTTTTAGACTGATGGTGATTTTTATTAAACAACTTGGTTTTAAGGTTTTGACAGTACATAGGAGACATTCATACATATGTAATAATATGTGGTCAGAAGTGACCATACAAACTACGCAGAGTTATGCTCAAACAAAGTGTCCCTTCTAATGAGGCATAAAAACAAAAGGACCCTTTTAATCCCTTGTCCTGGGAAAAAGGTTGGAAAATGCTCAGCCCTCATAAAAGTCGACAAACTTAAAAATTGATAAATATGGAAAACTTTGTTAACATGCATATTTTAACAGAAACAGTAGGCAGCCCCGGACAAGTAGACTTATTTCTTGGCTCGGGCCACATCCGGTCCGTAGGACGCGATCGTTATGGGCGTCGTAGCGATTTCGTGTGGCGTCAGAATGGCTTCGGCACATTGAAAAAATTGAAGTTGCGAAATTACGTACAAGGTAAAAATTAAGAGGGCGTGAAGCTTCATAATTTTAACCCAACGGACGACAAAAAACGCTTCCATTTCTCCCAATTTAGTGGAATTTATTCCACTTTTATTCGTGTGTTATGTAAATTTTTGAGACGGGTGGTAATGGAAATATTTTGCTAACTTTATGAACTTTTGCTAAATTTATTTCCAAATTTTGAGTACTTCGTAGCAATTTCTTTATCCAAATAACTGGCTACAATGGGAATAAAGCACAATATTTTACCCCTGACGACCAGCAACCGCCTACGTTGGAATTGTTCAATTATTAAACAACTGTAAAGTTGGAAGGCGAAGAATTACATACATATATCAAGAAGTATTTATAATGAGAACAACAATAGTTTTATGATTGAGTAGGTTTTTTTATGTATTTTAACGGGAAATATTATGTACCACGCGATGCAGGATGCAGATTTGCTTGCATATAAACAGCGATAAATAATTGTTCATAGTAAGATGACGTTGAGAATTTGTATGCAAGTTGTGTAGGGGACATTCATAAATTATGTCACGTAAATATCACAAACTTCCCTCCAACATATAACATGTGTGTCACAGATAGGATATCTTTGGAGCCTGTGACCCCCTCCGCCCCTTCTCGCGTGACATAATTTATCCACGGTTGCGTATGCAAAATCACAATGCATTTAACGTACTCGTATGTAGATTGTAAATACCGTAAAAACTCGAACAATAGTCTGGGGCTACTATTTATAAAATCGGTGTCTGGGACCCGGCTACTATTTGAGCAAGGCTATTGATTTTCATTTCCTGAATCAAGCTCAAATTAAATTTGAGAACAACACCGATTTTGCCCTTGGAGTCGTAGTCCATTAGAATATTATTCTGCTCGACCTGCTCTTCAATGATTTTTTCGATGACCTAAATTCGTGTTTTGTCATCGATTCATGGCTTCGATAGCGTGTAACTACAATCATATTGAATTATAATTTAATTATCTCAACCAACTTTCAATAAGTGTGGTTTTATGGAAATAGAGACGAGTCTATTCGAATATGGCTAGTATTTGGACAGGGCTACTATTTGGGCAAGGGTACTATTTACAAAATTTTGAAAATAGGGACGGCTACTATTAGAGCAACGGCTACTATTTGAGATTTTACGGTATGTATTTTTAAGTTTCGTATGTGCAGTGTACGTTAATTTTGTTCAGAAGATGCAGAACCTGCTCAATTTATTGACCGCAAACATTACTGAAGCCGTATGTTTAATGAATCCGTGGCAAATCCATACGTCATGGATGAGACGTAATTGTTCCACGTCTCGATTCTATTTAATTGCAAAAGTAATGGTGAGCACAGTATGCGAATATTTATTTAGAAGCTTCAGCTACTTATTGCGAAGAGTGTGTCCATCTCTCTGTCTCTGTTTCTAATTACAATTTCATTCAATTTGTATTTTATTGAACAAATATCACCGTTGGACCAACTATTAATCTCGATTTTGATAAATTCCAAAACGAAAGTATATTACACTTAAATCGTCCCAATCGTCTTATGGGAAGCCCTACTATCAATACTAATCTACATTTTACACGGAAACTAAACAAATTTTGCTAGCAAGCATCCTATCTAATTACTTAAAATAGTACACAAAATTCTGAACCAAAAATTGACACTAAATACGTTTTTCTAAGTTATGTAAGTCAGATAAAATTATGTAATGCTAACAAATAATCAAACCTTCCCATCAAAAAACACATTTCTCTTGCAAATTCTTCCTCACCCTGACCTCGTTACAGGAATGAAGAATTGTTTCGCCGTGGAGACCGGATCTGCTCCTGCGCACGATAAATACGCTACGTCCCAATATTGCAAATGGTCTGGCAGATTCGCCATGGAGGCGACGGAATTGGCACATTTTTCATCTTCGTAGACCGTCTTGGAACACACTTTTTCTTCTCCGGACGGCATAATCCATAACTCGTTGCCGTGATGAACGTATCCAGCCAGGGAAGATGGCGCATGCGCGGCGAAATCCGCCTTATTGACAACCCGGGTAAGCTGCATTTCTTGACCGTTCCAGTAGTCCGCGTAGGCCTGGTTTCCCACGCGGGGCGTGCCGTATCCAAAATAAGAGTAGGATTTCGGAGTAGGAAAATCCCAGGGAAGTTGGATTTCCTCTTTCAGCCTGAACAGCGTAACTGAAGCTACAGCCGCACCGAGACTGTGACCTGTGAAAAAATTGCTTAATTCAGGTCATTATAACTAGTTTTTCTGCTGTTAACTAACACCTGCACCAAATTAGTGCACGGAAACGTGTTGAAACGTTTAATAACACCGACTACAAATCCGAAAAAGTGCATGAAAATGCACGAAAATGATTTACACGCAAATACAATTGCAATAATGCAAATTTTTCTAAATATTCGATTAATTGAGACATTCATGTGCTATTTAACATATTTTCCTCATTATTTTACAATAATTTTACAATAATCTTACAGCAATTTTACAATAGTTCTACAACAATGGGACAACTAAAGACGTAGATACCTGCAAATTGTGAAAGCTTGTATACTGAACACTTATTTTATCCAGCTAGCCATCAAATCCATGTTTAGTCCAATTTTATTTAGCGTCCTATTCTGTCTATTTTCATCTTCAGTTGACAAACTTGTAAAAATTGGACATCAAATCAGCCAAATTTACATAATTAAGTTGTACAAAAAAATTCACAAAAATGTATAATAATTTCCATCAAATCCTATTCTTACATTGTCCCACCAACTTCTTACCAATGTAAAAAACATTTATTTACAGATACATAAACAAAATAATAAAACATTAAACTCAATGAAACTCACCCACCTGCCAGTACAACTTCATAATCGTCCTCCTCTTGTAAAAACTTTCCCAATTTTTCCACTATTTCCGAATATAGTGAATTAGTCGCGTTAATAAATCCGGTATGGACCCTCATCACGCTTCCCCCCACATCCTTACTTTTCCCCCTCTCCAGCACCGTCGAACCCGCGTCAATGCTCACGATTGAGTGGTGCAAATCGATAACGACATTCGCCATATTTAGCGTCCCCCGAAACGTAACCACGATCTCTTTAAGTTTTTTATTAACCGCGATAAAAGCCAGCGTGTTGGCCAGCTTGTTGTAAACTTGAGCGTGGAAGTCATACCCCAAACTTTGCGCTTTTTGACAGTACGGACACGACCAAGCGGGAATGTCGAAACAGTACGCGGCCCCGGTTAAATAGACGTATTTCTTGGCTCGGGCGATATCCGGACCGTAAGAAGAGATCGTTATGGGCATTTTGGTAATATCGTTGACCGTTTGCATGACTTTGTCGCTACGAGAAAATGGAGGGAAGGAAACTAAATAAAGGATTAAAATTAAGGGGGCGGGAAATTTCAAAATTTTTCCACAATTTTTAACACAACTAAACAAGAAAAATGTGTCCATGTTTTCAAATTTATTCAAATTGGAGTAGATTTTGTTACGTTGTTTAAGAAGCAGATGGACTTTGTCAAATTTTACACGTAAAATTTTGATTTGCGTAAGAAAAATGTGGGAATTAAGTAAGTAACTGCGACTTTGTTAAATATTTCGTATCACTGACTGAGCACGAAGTGGAGCTTACTTCGTTTATTATATTTCCTACAACGAACAACATCCTGCACTCGCATTGTTCAATTGCTTAACAATTGCGACGTAAGGAAATGCTGAGAATGTGACAAAAAGTATTAAAAATTAGGCAAACAATCAATGAGGACGAGGTAAAAATTTAACTACCCAATTCAAACTTGTTTAGAAATAGCGATAAATAATTGTACACAGATGTGTGCATAGCAGAGCGTGTAACAGAAAGTTTGCATAAAAAATAATACATGTATAAGACTGGCAAACACATATTTACATATGTATTTGCAGATAAAATATATGTACATTGTTGTACATATATATATATGTAAATATGTACCTATATGATTATTCGCATAAATTATTGTACACTGTCTCCAAAAAAATAATGTTCATGTCGTATTTTCATAGATGTTTATCTATCAAAATTTAAAGAAATGGGCCATGACTGCATATGTAATGTGTATGTGTGACTTTTGGTAACTTGCGGTGGAGTGGTGTGATTGTGAAAATTTGCAAATAAACGGCGAAGTGGTCACAGATACATAGTTACTTTAGTGGTGATGTATTAAATTTCACACAATTCCAAATAATTATATAAATTTTTAGAGTGTTAAATGACACGAGGCGAACATGTTCTTATTCTAAGTTCTGGAGAGACAATAAAATATGCTTAGCACAAACCTCACTTTAAAGAAGCAATTCACTGCCAAACACCAAAGCCATCCTTCTGGTAAAAGGATGATCTCCTCGTCCCCACCACCAATGACAGAATGTTACACAATTTTAGGAGGTGGGGTGGAGGAGGTCAAAATAGGGTTAAAAAAACTATTGCATAAGATAAAAACTAAAAAAGTTAATTTTCATACAACAAAAAATACATACAAACTTTTATTACCATGGCCAAATGTTCATTTAAAATAATTATTCTAATTTCGATTACAGAAAGTAAACAGTTTGGTTACAGGAATTCAAATCGTTCTAAATAGTACGAAATTTAAAATTTGATCAAAATTATTTTTTAATTGTTCTCTAAAACCTAAAAAAGAACATGACATACATGTATCTGCAAATTACATTAATGCAATTGAATGACGAATTGTCCCACCGTGGCGACCGGGTCTGCGCCTGCGCAGGACAAAAAGTGGACATCCCAGTACTGCAAATGGTCGTGCACATTCGACAAGGCGGCCATGGAGTTGGCACAACTTAGATCTTCGTAAACCTCCTTGGAACACACTTTCTCTTCTCCGTTTGGCCCGAGCCATAATTCGTTCCCGTTGTGGACATACCCACCCAGAGCTTGGGGCGTATACGCGGCGAAATCCGCCTTATTTACGACCCGGGTAATTTGCATTTCTTGAGCGTTCCAGTAGTCCGCGTAGGCCTGGTTTCCTATGCGGGGGGTGCCGTAGCCGAAATAGGCGTAGGATTTCGGTTTAGGAAAATCTTTGGGAAGTCCGTGGCCTTCTTTTAGCAGGAACAGGGTTAAAGACGCTGCGGACGCGCCGAGGCTGTGTCCTGTTGTGAAAAAATTAGTATTAAAACTTCATAATTGGTAGTTTATGGTACAAGAAAATGCTTGTGGAGAACAGCGTTTCAATTTTTCCATTTAAAAAATTATTTAGGAATCGATGAGATCAAAAATGACCAAAATTTGTTAAACTTGCTAGTGTCCAAAACTTGTCAATATTGCTTGTGTCCAAAATTTCATCTAGTAAATTTGGTTTAACTTGTGGTCAAAATCCGTTTCTACTTCTGAGAAACATCCCGTCCAATCAGGTTTCTACCAGGGTTAACCTTGTCGTCAAAATTTAGCTCCATAGAAATTTTTTTTCGTCTAATCATTAGCAAAACTAACAAAATTCCACAGTACATAAACTCTCCCACCAGTTTTTACCAGTGATCTACATAAATTTATAAAAATAACCTCAAAAAGTACAAAATATAACAAAACAACCCACTCACCTATCACCACCACATCAAAGTCTTCATTCTCTTTTAAAACCTTTCCCAATTTTTCCACAACTTCCGGGTAGAGGGAGTTAGTCGCGTTAATCATGCCCGTGTGGACCCATATTTCCGGTCCTTTACTCTTCTTCCCCCTCTCGAGAGCACTGGAACCCGCCTCAATGCTCACGACGGAAGGGTGGATATCATGCACCACGTTCGCGACATTTAGCGTTCCACGATACGAAACCACGATCTCCTTGAGCTCCTTGTTAACCGCGATAAAAGCCAGCGTGTTGGCCTCCTTGTTGACAATCAGCGAGTCGAATTCATACCCAAAACTCTTCGCTTTCTCACAGTACGGACACGTCCAGGCGGGAATGTCGAAACAGTAGGCGGCCCCGGACAAATAGACGTATTTCTTAGCTCGGGCCACATCCGGTCCGTACGACGCGATCGTAATTGGCATCGTGGCGATCTGGTGGGGCGTCAATTGTTTTGCCTTGTCACCCTGACAGAAGTGAGGCTGGGAAATTATGTATATAATTAAGACGGCGTTAAGAAGCTTCAAATTTTGGGTACAATTTTTAGCACAACGTGCGACAAAAAACGCGTTCAATTTATTGGAATTTAACCCAATTTTATTGTACGGTGTGTTATGTAAGTTTCTGAGACTAAAAATATTTTGGTAATTTTGGTTGTTTAATAGTTGCTAACTTTTTTTTCTTTTACGTTGGAATTGTTCAATTGTTAAATAAATGTGAGGTTGGAAGGTGAAGATTTACCTAAAATTAACAATCGTTTTATCATTAGGTAGATTTATTTATGGATTTAAATGGAAGTTATGACGTGCAGATTTACCTAAAAACTGCGATAAATATGGAATTGTTCAGAATAAGACAAAGTTAAGAATTTAAATGCAAAGTGTGTAGGAGACGTTCATCAAGGATGTAAATATTTCACGTAAGCAAGACGGATTTTTATCCCATGCTGGCTGTTGCGCTTCATCTGCGGGTCGTTGGGTAGTGCCGTTGACCACTTCCCACAGGTCATGTGACTTGAGAAGTAAAGTTATCTGAAGTCTCCACCTCGCGTAATTGGTGTCGTCTAGCTTGACAATGTGCGTAACATCTATTCTTTTGATTGTTGATGTCATCTTGTCGTTGTGGAGTAGGGAAAGCAGAAGCGAAAAACAGAAATAGACTTGTTACCTTCTCTTTGCCTAATAAAGAGCAGTAGAATCGAAAAAGGTCGAGATTTGGTAGACGGGAACTCAGGATTTGGGTAGAGTGGTCGTCCTCAATAAAACTCGTCCTCGGGCGGAAGGTTCAGCTTCGTGTAGAGTCAAAGGGTTGATGTCTCTTGTCCAAACAATGGTCCAATTCACGGCACACTTTTACAGGCTTACTCCGTCCAGACTGGCACTGGGCAGTGGAGACTTACTGCTATTATTAACTGATGAATTCACTTTTCACTTCACAACAATAACACTGATCTACTTCAGTTTATCAAGTGTTGAACAGGAAACAGTTCTTCTCGTTGTGAGACTTTAACAGACTCTGAGACTGGGGCACTTTTGAGACACTCAATGAGGCAGGTTGAGACCAACAATATGAATCATACAAACTAACGGCTTTGCTACCATGAAAGTAAAAATGATCTCGCTGGAAGATATTTTTAGACTGATGGTGATTTTTATTAAACAACTTGGTTTTAAGGTTTTGACAGTACATAGGAGACATTCATACATATGTAATAATATGTGGTCAGAAGTGACCATACAAACTACGCAGAGTTATGCTCAAACGAAGTGTCCCTTCTAATGAGGCATAAAAACAAAAGGACCCTTTTAATCCCTTGTCCTGGGAAAAAAGTTGGAAAATGCTCAGCCCTCATAAAAGTCGACAAACTTAAAAATTGATAAATATGGAAAACTAAAAGACGAATATCCTCCGTAAAAAACTCTGCTCAGTGAATAATTTTCAATAATTGCTCAGTTTAGTCTTACATAAATAATTAATTATATACATAAACTAGAGCCTAATGTAGTTTTGTTATTAGTGTGAAGTTAGCCTATCCTATAGGATAGGATGATGGTTGAAAAAGCCTCCTAAATGGATGAAGTTACCCCAATCGTCAATTTTGTGCTATTTTGTGCTATACGCGTTAAAAATACTTGGAAAACATGGGAGTTCGTTTAAACTTGTTAAAATACAAGAATTAACATAAAAAATCAATTTTTCGACCAATAAATACAAAAAAACACCAAAAATTTAATATATCTATGTCATCTTTTTGCCAGCATAATTAGGTACTTTTATGTTAAATTTTAAATTTATTAGTCTCACTCAGCACTATTATACTACATTAACATCAACATACGTGCTAAGCCATATTCTTGACGCTAAATTTCGACATTTCAATTTTTATAATTTGGCCGATCTTTAAGTCGATTTCCACGAAAACTAGTCCCGATATCTGTCAAGTTAGTAATTTATATTCATTCTATTCTGACCTTAGAAGGTCACGGCACCACCCGTTAAGCATGCGCCAACAGAATAAGAAAGAACTTGGACTTTGAAACTGGCTAATCTGACTCGAAAATTTTCATTTTGGCCGATTTTGGAGTCGATTTGCTCGAAAACTAGTCCCGATACCTGTCAAGGTAGTAATTTTTATTCATTCTATTCTGACCTTAGAAGGTCACGGCACCACCCGTTAAGCATGCGCCGTCCAAATAACAAAGTATTTTAAATTTAAAGTTGGTCCATCTGAGTCAAAAACTTGCAGATTTTGACTTCCCCAGCGCGGCATTTGACTTACGGCATTTTTTGTAATCGAAAATAAATAAACCGTAGTAACGTTAGACGTAGCTCACCCTGTCATAATTATTTAGACAGAAGTTAGCACTGAAGGTGCAAAATAAGCCGACAAAATAGATCATGACTCTTATACATTCTTGCACCGATGGTGCAATACAAACGGGAAAATATATAAAATGTCGGAATTACTTTCATTTAACTTTAGACCAAATGTGCTGAATAACCGCAAGTATAAAATTTATATATTTTAGCGTCAATGGTACAGAATAATAGATTAATAGAATGGAATAGATTAGAGCAAATAGATTAGAATAGAATTTTCAAATAATTTTGCATTAATGGTGCAGGATAATCGAACAAATAGAACAGAATTCTGACATGATTTTTGGGGGGAAATAGATGGCCCAATTGTTACGCATCATTGATTTTTGGGGGGAAACAGATGGCCCAATTGTTACGCATCATTTTTAATAACCAATTGCTCGGTACTAACGGTGCTACTTATTCCAAAATTATAGTCCTATCTCGATCTATTTGCTGAATTAACTTGCACCATTTGCGCTCGGATTGTTCTATATCAATGGTGGGACCAAACAAGTCTATAATGGACAAGGGGATTTTTAATCAGCATCAATTGATGCAAAAAACTCGTCAACGGACGGACGGACGGACGGACGGACAAGAGGAATTCAATAGCTCTCATGCTACGCAGGGTGAGCTAATAATGCACAATTACAATTACATGCTCAGCCGACCCAACAACCTAACAACGATACCTAACGATACCTAACAACGATAAGACTTTAGTAACAATGCGATGAAGCTAGCGGTCCGATTTCGACGAAATCACGATAGTTGTGGTTTCGTCAAAATCGGAGCGAGACCTTTGGTGTCGTCGCATTTTCCGCCCCAAAAAGTTACATAATTCGTTATCCCGGCCATTTCTGACCGATTTGGATACAATTTTGTACCCATGATTATTACGGGATTTAATAACGATGCGCAAGTCAACTTGGCGAAATTTGGTTTTTTACCCGAGTTGTTATGCACGAAAGGCTTCAAAAATTGTCCCTTAAAAACTAATTTCTTTCCATACGTCGTTGGCAGTGAACTAAGCATGGAGCACATTTTAGGGAAAATCATTTCGAACATTTCAAGCGCAAATGACCTACATCGGTTCAGAAATGACGAGAGTCCTTCAGTTTGTGAAATCAAAAATTCGATAAAAATATTTAAAACGACATGTACCAGCGGTTTTGTAGTGCATATAATGTCATTAACAGCCAATTATAAGCTTTAAATAAAATACGTCTTAAAAAATTGGAGAACTTACAATGCGATAGTGTGAGGTGGTTATCGCCGATATCCATCGGAGTAATTTTAAATTGTTCACGCTCAGAAATAAGTGGACCCGTATTTTTACTTTTCCTGAATGGGCATGTTTTCGCCCGTGGAGGAATTTTCAAAAAAAAATTCAGCCAATATGCTGATTTTTAAAAACGCTGTAACTTTTCGAATTTTAACCCGATTTCAAAAATTAAACCCAATTTGTGTTCAGAATTACAACTCTGAAAATATAAAAATTTATTTTTAAAAAACTTTTAATTTTCAATAAATTATCGTTTTATGGGTTTCTAAAAATTCAGAAATAGCATGAAAATATCAAGTTTTTGAAATTTTAAAAAATTAATTTATATATTTTCAGGAATGTAATTCTGAACACAAATTGCGTTTAATTTTTGAAATCAGGTTAAGGTTACGGCGTTATTAAAAATCAGAATTTTGGCTGAAATTTTTTTTGAAAATTCCTCCACGGGCGTAAACATGCCCATTGAGGAAAACGAAAAAATACGGGTCCACTTATTTCTGAGCGTGAACAATATAAAATTAGTCCGGTGGATATCGGCGATAACCACCTCACACCTCCTCATTGTTAGTGAGGCGATGCAATCACAACTAATAAATGAACTTAGATTGCAGCATTCTTTTCACCGGACTGGGTACTGTTTCTGGGTACCATTATGAATTTTTCTTGGCATTCAGGTGCATTCTTAATTTTATTGAACACATTGAGAATTAAAGAAGATGAGAAGAAGTTTCACTAGTGATCAAGAAGTGTACTAATCAAATATATAGGTTTAGTAATTGTGAACTACATATTTGTTTTAAAAAGTTGCAAATCTACGGGATATTAATTTCGGGATATTAATTTGAATAACAAATTGTTTACCGAAGAGTAATAATAATTGCATCCGTTCATTATTTTGTTATACTCTTGTCTCCGTATTAAGTCACGTAGTTGCAGCTCCGAATAACAAAGTGAATCACTTATGTAATTTTGGCAAATTTTGAAATTGATTAAATTAAAAAATGATGTACAGCGAGGTGTCGGAATCGGAAGCAGAGGGAGAAAGTGCTTCTGAAACCGAGAGTGTGACTCATTCTGACGCCGAACAACTCGTTGACAATTCAGATAAAGTAACGGACCTGACGCAGGAGTTACCAAATGAATCTGAAGAGTAACATGCCAAAGAATCACGTGAACAAATTCACGAAAGACAGGCAGAAGAAATTCCTAAGCAAATACGGTAAGTTATTCGTGATTTCAACTCGTAGTTTGTGGGCAAAATTTTAGCTTCATACATAT